GAAGCTTTGCCTCATCCTCCTCGGACATTCTAGGAATCTTGACAGGTGGTTCGTCAAATGTACTAGCTTTACGCTTCAGATTAACATCGACACTGCCTACTTTTCTGGACGGCGAATAACTCTGAGGAGGCGTACCTTGGATAATCTCGTCCTCGTCAAAGAGCTCATCTTTCTTCTCTGACTCGCACAACTCGCTGGTTGATACGTTCTCCGTAATTTTTTCAATAGCATCGCTTTCCTTTACTTTTTCATCTATAATAGTTTCGTCTTCCTTGTCATTTGCAGTTATCGTGTTATTCTCTTCAGTTTGCAACGTTTCTGGAATTTGTTGCGAATCCACTTGGTCAATTGACTTCTCATTATTGGCTTCTCCAACCAATATCTGTTTTAACTTATCTACCATACTTTCATCTCCCTCAGAATCGACAAGACGAAAATCTTGACTCTCGTTCAAGCTTGTCTCTTGGGTCTCGCTAGTCATTTTCAAGCTTTTATTGGCGCTTTCGTAATGGGTCTCCTGCGTGTGTGGCACGCAAGTGTCTGATTCCACAGGGTTAGACATTTTTAACAGATCGTGGCAAGTGTTCTGAAAATAAAATATAAATTAGTGTAAATTATAATACGTAAAAATTAGAAAAGTAAAATCATAAACGTCTAAGATAATATTAGATCTGTTCGACTTGCTTACACTTTTTACACTCAAATATATATCTATCCATTTTAAGTGTAAAAAGTGTAAAAAAGTGTAAACAAGTCGAACAGACCAATCGTTAAATCTACAGAAATGTTATTTGCTCTAAAAAAAAATTGCAGTATAAAAAATTGATGATGAATTCGGTTACTTGCATTATGCTAAGTGTATATTAAAGGCTGCTTTATATGAATCTAAATGAAGTATCTAAATGAAGTGGCACAATATAATCTACTTTGACAACGAAATAATAAGTGAATATCTATTAAATAACATAAAAATATCATTATGAAGTATTTCATCGTTTAAAATATTTGGTATTGATAAAAATAAAAATCGGAGCGTAAGTCGAATGTAATGGGAGAATAATAGAAGCGTAAACGAAGCTTCTAGGAGGCGAAAATTAAAACAACGAAACGTAAAAGAGGCATTTACGCTTGTTTTACATATCGTTGTTTCAACTTTTGCTTCCTAGAGATTTCGTTTACCCTTCTATTACTCTCCCATTACATTGATCGACTTATAGCGAATTCGTTCACTTGTACTACACTAGATCAGTGCATACTAAAAGCTGCTTTACATGAAATTAGCAAAGTTAAATGGAAAAGTATAAAAATATTTTAAACGATTAACTATCTATTAACGATACTGTCACGTTATTTAACAAAATATATGTGTATCATTTTATTGTCAAAGTTGATTATATGGTATCACTGCATTGAGATATGTTATATAAATTAGCTTTTAATGTGCACTGATCCAGTGTAGTGCGAGTGATCGAATTCCATTACACTCCGATTTTTATTTGAAAGAAAATTTCTTTTTTTTTCCCCAAAAAAATTTCGAAAACCACTCGAGTTAGTTTGATGAAACTTCCTATGTTTAAAGTTTCATCAAAACGCAAATCTCGCGTGCGTGCAGCGGATGTTTACAACTTGTTTGCGTTGCATGCACCTTTTGCACTCAGCGTCTTCGCTCTCTCTCCCTCTCTCTTTTCAACGCTCGATATTTATCTCTCGTTTCAAGCACAAAAATTTTTGCAGTTTCAGGCAACGCGAACGGACTTAATGGCGACGAAAGGTTACGGCGGGAACCGATTCCCGAGGCGGTGCGAGCCGGCGCGGAGCGAGAACGATGGCTCGAAATCTGGCAAGAACTCGACGCGTGCGACGCGACGTCCGCGTCGGCCGGGGAACGTCTCCACCGCGAACGCGAGATATCACCACGTTGGCCTACGTTGCCGCGAGCGAATGATTCCGCCGGTCGCCCGCAGTCGGCGAATCTCTCCTATCGAACTCTGATTATACCTCTGATGGCACGCGCGAAACGGAGTACTCCCGCAAGGAAGAATGCGAGACGCATCGAGAGAGCCGGACGCCTGTGAAGCAACTGGCAAGTACTGTTCCTCTTTTCCTCTTTATTCTTCCTCTCCTTTAACGTTGTTCGATCGTCAAACGGTACGAGAGCGAGGTGACACCCGCCATATTTTCACCGCACACGGCGTGGCTCGCGGGAACAGCGGGAACAGCTTTTATGTTATACCATAATTTAAATGCATTGAAGTTGCGACACCGAGTGGTCAAATTAGAACTTCGTATGATTGGTCGGATTTAAAAGATAGGAACCAATGAGATGCTTCCATATGCGGCGATGATTTGCAAGCCTAACTTCCGCCAGCCAATCAAATCGTCTCAGCGTTTAAATTTGAAACATTTGAACGCTTTTAGGTTCGTTCGCGTCGCAAGCTCTAACGTGCTCCAACATGCTCCTATCATAGCTCCTACTCACTCCAACGCGCTTAATAGAGTGAATAGGAGCTATGGTAGGAGCATGTTGGAGCATGTTGGAGCTTGCGACGCGAACGAACCTAGAAGCGTTCAAATGATTCAAATGATTCAACTGTCGTACGGTTTGTTCGCGTTGCTTGAAATTCTTAGAGATTTTTGTACTTAAAACGAGGTAAAATATATTTTGGCGTTGAAGAGAGAGAAAGCGAAGATGCAAAAGATGCAAGCAACACCAACAGATCTATGGATGCGATTCATTTAACGCTGCAAATGCTTTGTTGATCAATCAGTAAATAGAATTTTACGAAAAGACCTGAAGATAATTACAGAAGTATCAATAATAATGACTAAGACATCAATTTTCCAATCGTCAATTAAATATCTGAAGAATTAATTATTAACGCAGCATTAAATTCTTATATATACAGGGTGTTTCCAAATTAAATGGCAAAACTTCGGGAGCGTGTAGAGGAGTAAAAAACTAAGAAAAAAAGTCCTATGGACATATGCTCCTTTTTGCTTTGTTTCGCAGGAAATCACGAAAAAAGAAAAAAATATATTTAATTTATTATTTTAATTATTTTATTTATAAACTTTTTAATGAAGATTTTGTTCGAAATGTGCACCTCTTGCAGCAATACAAGCATTGCATCTGTCAAACACGGCTCTTGTAGCAGCCAGGCCTTTAAAGCATTACCGTTGCAGAAACCGTATACAAAAACCATATCAGCATATTCACTATTAGAATACGTACGCGGCATATTGCAAAAGACAAAATTCATCTACTATTAAAGGCTTTCAAAGAGCGACTGACAAATTCATAACAGAAAGTGGAAAATGTAATCAAATATGTCGGTGCTAGATATGGCAAGAAATGTAAACATTTTTTTTCGATTTCTCTGAAACGGAGCAAAAACGAGCATATGTCTATAGGACTTTTTTTCTTAGTTTTTTACTCCTCTACACGCTCCCGAATTATATAAAGCTTTATTCGAAATATTATTAAAATATAGATTAAATATTTTATGTAGTATTTATGATAAATATAAATAAATATTTCTAATAAGTATTTTTTCCTTGGATTATAATGTCTGATTAAGTATGTTCATAGCATTTATTATAACATTCACAATTCTACGTCCGTTTCACGCATGTTGTTTATCTTTGTTAACATTCGGTAAATAACAAGAATAAAAGATGCATCATGCGTATCATATGTGAAACGGAATGCAGCCCTAATGTGTGCAGAATAGAGAATATAACTTGGAAAAATTAATTCGCTTAATAAGACATTCTGGTAGAATTTACGAAACTAATTGTTCGCTCAACAAGAAAATCTGATAGATTCAACGAGAAGGCATTATTAGACCAATAAGAAATTCTGGTAGATTTAATTAGAAGGAATTAATCAAATTCATTCAGTAAATCTTACAAGAATTCTGATTCGTCCGTTTTTGAACAGATATACTGGTTGAATCTACCAGATTTCCAAATAATCCAACCAAACTCTTTTTTCAGTGTACCATTTTGAGATATTCGCTGTAAAAATTTCAGCTAAAATAACATTCTTGGATAGTGTAGGCGCGATGCGACGAAACATATAGAACCGCCATGCTAGACGGCGAAGCGCTATTTCCTCGCTGTGTGCCGTCGTTGTCGAGTGAGGCATGATGGGCTGTGCTACGAATTCGCGCGGCGCGACTTCACCGTTTTCTTAGCTTACACGTTTTCTTTATTAATTCGAAAACTACAACGAATATCTCAAAATGGTATAAGACTTTTTTGTTCCCCTTGACCCATACTACGCTCCCAATGCGGCCCAGACCTTATTTAAATGACATCCTGTGCATAATAATTATATATTTATGTATTTATAATAATTATATATAATATAGAGAAAAACTATATAAAATCTTTGTCTCTCTAACTTTTCTCTATATACATCATACTATTAGTTGTTAATAATTGTTAATAAGGTTTCATTAATTTCTACTTTCTCGCATTCTGTTTTTTCGCTAAAATATGCCTTATTTAATAGGACGTTGAATTACATTGAATTAAAAATGTCGGTGTAGATACATATAATATATAACAAATTTTTATGTAAAAAATGGAAAATTTTTCATAATATAGAATAGCAAATTTTTTAGAATATTCACAGAACATTTTTTCAAAGTAATAGAAATAAGAGTCTGTGGTCACTACTAAGGCTACTTTGTATTATTGCATCTATGATTGTAACAAATACACCTAAAAACAATTTTATTTAAATTGCGAATTTTAATCAAAACTTTTTTTTATTGAAAAACGATTAATCATGTATTGTCAACATATATTTTCATGACATATTTTATATATATAATACTCTTATTTCTATTATACTAAAAAATTTGCTATTCTAGAATATTATGAAAAATTACATCGATACTCAAATTAAAAAAAAGTTAAAAAAATTATACCAATACTCAAACGTTAAAGACATTTCTATTGAAATATATTTAAAAAATATATAGCACTACGTTTTACTGTAAGTTATGACGACATTCTTCATCAGGTTTGTTCGGTAGAGCTATAAAAGTTTTTTTAATATCTTCCTTCAATTCCATAAAACTGTGCGTCTCCATCACATTCTTCTTGTTTTCTTGAAAGTATTCGAAACAGAATTTCTCTACTGTCTGCAAATTATGTGGAATACGTATAATAAGTAAATAAATAAGTACGCAAAATAAAAATAATTTTGCAGTTCATGAATTTTAGTATTAAATGCAATACTGGAGCGCCAGAACTTAACAGAGAAAAATTGCATGTCTAATAAATCATTTGAAGACATAATTC